GGGGCCCAAATGTCCCCACAAGTATAGTAATACAAGTACATTTTTACTTTGTGGAAAATTTTTGTCCCCATGAGGAAACAAGCTTATAAATCATACAGAATGATTTAGTTTCCTGTGATGGCTAGGTTTAGGGGTAGGGTAAGGGGATAGAAATACAGTTTGTACAGTAAAAAAAATAAAACATTACACTTATGGAATGTCCCCATAATGATAGGAATACCTGCGTGCGTGCGTGCGTGCGTGCGTGCGTGCGTGCGTGAGGTATATGCAATAATCATGTATACCTGTCTTTTAGCTATGACTTGCCTCAGTATGGGAGTCGACGGAAGCTGATCTCTCCAACAGGGATGTATGATGAATATGGAGAGGTGATTATGGAAGATGATGGCAGCTACTACTACAGCCCACACGAATCCGAGGGAGAGGTATCAAATTGTATTTTTTATTTTTTTCTGTTTTCTTAGTTTAAACCAATACAACGTGCAGTATTTTTTTAATACGTTACGTTTATCCTACCTCTAGCTTAAGACCCTTACACATGACTCATGTCAGGGTTTTGGTGCTTTTGGCACCTTGACCTTCACTTGAAAAGCATTGCAAATAGCAAGGTAGAAAAAACTGAAGTGTGCACATTAAAAGTAGTGCAATCAAATGAAACATTTGAGCTTAGAACAGAAAAAAATCCTGCTGATTACTTTGCATCACTGCAGAAAGAAAAAAAGTCAAAAAGGTTTTTTTTTTTTTTGCTTTGAATGTTCTGATATGCTTTCAATGATGTTTCAATGTAAACAGAAAACACATAATCAGTCAGTAATGTCTAAAAGGTGGCCCTCACACAAGAGTACATTTTCTTCAGGGTGCAGGGTTGGGGTGATTTGGGGTCATTTTGCAGAACATGGGTAACCATCTAGAGCAGGGATGGGCAATTCCGGTCCTGGAGGGTTCAGGATTCTTTTCTACAGAGTTCTGCTGCATCCATAATTGGAAATTACAAGCGGGTGTGTTTGATTGTGGATGAAGCTAAACTCTGCAGGACAGCAGCCCTCCAAACCAGAATTGCCAATTCCTGGTTCATGGCATCCTTCCCTCCTCGATCATATTATGATTTTTGCTGGCACCAACCGTGACTTCACTTTGAAAGGTCAGCAGCCAGTCATGTTAAATGCATTTGCATTCAACGTGGTACTGGGGGTAATACTGTAACTTGACACTTCTCTCAGTGCAGTGGGGAATGCTAACATGGGTCATGTGAAGTCACAAAGATGATGGGTGATCTGAACTGTTGATTAAATATTCTGAATGATAAAATCCTGGACTAATATCAATGTAATAGGTTGCTAGGCAAGGCAGAAGGCCGGCTCCCCCTCCTGGCAAGGCTCCACCACGAAGGCCCCCTAGACAAGCTTTTGGAGACCAACCTCCAAGTCTTGAGCAACAGCTGCCTGGACTAGTTGAAGGCATCTCACACCCTTACGGCTCAAAGGCTGAACCTTCACTCAAAGCACCTATAAAACTTGGCCAAATGTTTGACAGAAGATCGAGCCCAGCTCCATTCCACCTTCCATGGAAGAACAATAGAATATTTCCAATTGCAGTTCCTGAGGAGAAAGGAGGAGGGACTGATGACCCCAAAGCAATCACAATGCAACATTCAAACAGTGTTGACAATGGCATGGTCATTGATGGCAACTATTTCCAGACTAAAGAAGCCATTCCTTCAGCAAAGACAAGACTTGGCAAAGTTTTGAGTCAGATGAACATCTTTAAAACATTGCAGACTCAGAAGAACTCTCTGAGCAGCGTTAGCGGTACTTTAGATCATAGGAGTAATGGAAGCATCCCGACCTCTTGGTCACTCAGCGAGTCAGAACGGAAATCACAGAGAATCCCTGGTGATAGTGTGGAAAGTGAGCAAGAAAGAGGTAGGAGCAGGGAAGACATCATTCAACAGTCTTACACTGGAAGTTCCATGTCATTCACACCTTCCCATCCATACAGACTCCAAGAAGGTGCGCATATGAGTAGTTTAGACTCTGATGATGATCAAGACCAGAGTCCTCTTGATTCAGACAGGGAGAGCCAAGCAAAAACTCAGCTAGATGACACTGAAATAGAGTCAAAGACAGAATCAGATTCAGACCAAGACGCAGAGACTGAAAAAGAAACAGAGACGGAACAAGAGTCAGACACTGAGAGAACATCGGGGACAGAGAACGAGTCAAGCTCGGAGGAAGATAGCAGTGGAAAAGAAAGTGTCAAATCGGAGGATAGAGGAACAGTATCATCTGTCAGATCTTCTCGGCCCAGACACAGCAGATCATCTTCAGAACTTGCAACTACATCCACACACATGAAAACATTAGAAGAGACCATCCTGAAAGAGGGTGAGGATGATAAGGAAGACAGAGGGCAGATGGAAGAAGGCCGAAGTAAGGATCCAAGGTCCTCTAGGTCTAAAAGCAGTAATTCTCTGGAGAGAAGACATGATTCAAACTTCCACAGCATGAGCAGATTCTCTATGATAAGCAGTAGTGTAGCAAAGGCTTTAGAGATCGACAAACTCTCCCCTATAGATGAGAATGAAGAAGGAGAAAAGACTCTAGAGAGAGGTGGTAGCCCGGGTGATAGTTCGAGCTCTTCAGATGGAGCAAGAAACCTTAAAGTAGACGAGGAGGATGAGGAGTCTAATTCAGACACAACTGAGACTGTCGGAGCCTCCTGAATTATATTCTGATATGTTCAGTAAGACTGGCCATTGCCTTTATTTCTTGTGTTGATCTTTTTATTGGCCTTTTGAATGCTTTCATCTGGTTGGAGTTCTTCTTTTTGTTTTCCTCTCTCTGAGCACAACTTGGCATTTCTCCTTAACCTTTGCTGAATAACATGCATGCTATTTCATCTGTAGTCTTACCTTTAGAGGTCACCCTTCAAAAGTTTAGGTCATCAATTAATGTTCAGATCAAAATTAGGTTAGTGTTTGGTGTTTTCTAAAAATCATGTAATCCAGTGACATTTGGTCCATGAGCACATTACTTTTAATGAGCTTATGAAGGGACATTAATTGTGTGTTGGTTGTTTTGCTTTTTAATGACGAGCAGTTGTGGTCCATGAGGGAATCTTCTGGGGAAGCTCATGTTTAAATTGAATATTCATTAAACCTGCTTTATTTATTCTGATTAAGTTATCTTGATAATTAACACTTTATAACAGTATTTCCGATAAGCAAAGCAATATTTATCATATATGAAAAATTGAACAAATCACGCAGTGCCGTCATACAAATAGCAATATAGGCCTAGATCTTTTTACATTATATGCATTTTTTATGCACGCTACTAAGAAACCAATTAAATCAACAGTTAATTTTATATCATTACTTGTGCATTTTTGAGAAGACTTTCCTCCTTGGACAGAACACCACTGTTGTGTGCTGTGTAAAAATAAAAAGTCTGTTATTCTTAAGCTGTCATTTTACACACCCATTTTCTTTTTTTCAGTATGGTAGAAAAAAGAGGATCAAGCTTATTGTAGACCGTGAATACGAGACCAGTTCAACTGGAGAAGAAAGTGCACCAGAATTGCACAGGAACCGCCTGTCTAATGTGAACAGCCACGGCAACATTAATGGGAGCGTATACTTGGCCCAGAATGGCTCAATAATCCGGACACGACGGGTTGCACACACCAACAACATCAAGCTCAACTCTCCAATACGACTGGGAAAGCACTTTAAGAAACTAGACAAACTTGCTGTCACACACGAAGAGCGAATTCCTTTAAACAGCCCCGTAATCACAGGCGCTTCAGTAGGTGAACAGAACCTCACAACCAGGCCCTCCAGTGGGTCCCTGGCCTCCAGCACTACAGGCCCAGAGAGTATAGCTTCAAAATCAAATGTGGCAAAAGGAGGGGGTGAAAGAACACAAAATGGGGATGAACAAGAGTCCACAGTGGACAATCAGGAGGTGAGAGACCCTTTAGGATCACATAGTGACCGCACCCAGTCAGATGAGGAGGAGCTCTGGATGGGGCCTTGGAATAACCTGCACATACCAATGACAAAACTGTGACTTCTGACATGCAGATGCTCTATTGTCTTAAAGAACTTGGGAGGAAAAACTGAATCTGCAGCATAAAATTATGAAATTGCACTTTCATTCAGTGTTACATTTGCTTTTTCGTGGCTCTAAACAATGAGCTTCTCAATGATTGTTGCATTCATAAGTACCTTATAAATCAAACACATGTTTCTGGCCCATTGATTGGTGCTCATCCTTTTATTGGGGGGGATTTGTTACAGATGTATTGTATGCGTTCAGAAATATTTTCCGTGCTTTTTATAGTTTAAAAGGCTGAATCAAATGCCTGCTGAAATGTATTTTTGGTAAATGGGTCATCAATGAAAATAATTGTGATGAATCTAATGTGTACATTTGCTTAATGCCATAGTCATTTGAATGGACTTGCACCAGAGTTGAAAGTGCAATATTTTTGTGCTTTTTTATACCAAGTTATATCAAAACAGAATTATTCAATATATGGACACATTCTGTTACAGATACTTGCCAAACTAAATTGAACAACTTTTGTTGCTGTTGTTTTATTTTTATGTGTTATATATATATATATATATCAATATATATATATTAGGGCTGGTAAGCGATTACAATTTTTAATCTAATTAATTACATGATGTGGCGATTAATTAATTGCAAATTAATTGCACATCAAATTTGGCTGAGAAATTACTCCCAAAGATAATTTAAAGTCATTGTTGTTGTGTAAAGCATCAAACAGACGTTACAAAAAGTAGCTTCAGCAAGAAATATTTAGTTTGATAAAATTGATTACATATACTCTTTTGGACCATGAGGGTGAGTAAATGTACCTCTTGCGGTACTTTAATGTCATACACCGATCGGTCTGTGCAGCGCCGCTTCAAATCCAACGCGCATATGGCCAATGGTTCAATGCGCCAAATGTTTCACCCAATTCGTTCAAAATGTGCATTAAGAAATGAAATGCCGCTGTGTGTTGCTCGGAGACGAACAGTTCTGCTTTGTCTTTATATTTTCGTTGGCAAAATTGAGCAAAACAGACATTGTGTCTAAAATAACACAATATTAACTTCTTATTTATTGAACTGTATATGATCGGTATCACATTTGCACTGGTGTGATAGCCTATTGCACTTATTGCTCGTGTGCTATTGCTTAACTATGTTGTAAATATGAGACAAATGCTCAACCGGGCATTTTTGCCCCATATTTTTAATTTTAGGGACATTCTAACTACGTTCTCTAGGCTCCATCACGCAGTGAGTTGTTGCCCTGCCTCATATTTGTCATCAAACAAGTCAACTGTATGAAATGTCAGATATAGGTCTGGGGCGGGGCAAGTGCGGTAATAATTTTAACGCGTTATTTTTATTTTCTTTAATCGAATTAACGCGTTAAATTACCTGCCCTTATATATATATATATATATGAGCAAGGCAAAAATCTCTCATTGTGCAGCCTTTGAATATTTGACTGTTTCAACAAGGCAGAGAAACGGGCACATCAAATAAACATTCCTGGTAAAAACAAAAATTAAAATTAAATTTTAATAAAAATATACTGAAAAGAGAAAACATCACTTTTACTCTTTGAAATTACACTATCAACATCTTTGGTTGAAACAACATTTCAAGTTACTATGAACATTTTTGATATTGTATGTGCACTGCTGTTCTATGTGGATGAATCTGATGGTGTAAACTTGTGTTGTCAATAATCTTCAATCAGAGCAGATCTGACTACCTACATCAAGAACACTGATAGTAAGAAGAAAGTATTACAAGACAATATTTCATATGAGCAAGTAGCGCATCTGCTGCCAAAATAGCCAGACCATATTACATGATATTTAAAATCTGGTTTGATGTACTATAGCAGCATAATCCTCTATAATGGAAAACTAGAACTGAAAAATCGTCCATGTGTCTATGATAAAACTCTGATAAGAATGAACCAATACCCAAAGTCAGTTCACTTGCTGGTCATCTTGGCAAAATTACACACTTAATCTTTAATGGCAGAAGTAGAGTAAGGCTTGACTACATCTATATTGATTCAATCCAACTGCATGAAGGCATTTTAGTAGTCAGGATATTACATAAACATTGGATTTGCACATCTGCCAAACTACATTTTAGTGTTGTTCTTGTGCCGGGCTGGTCAGACCGTTCAAACAAACAGATTGTGTTTTTGTTTAGTGCTGCTAGCTAGGGGCACAGAAATTGCACACTTCACCTTTAAAAGGCAGAAGCAGAGAAACACCAAAACTTGAATGCACAGGGGTCACGAGAGAGAGAGGGAGAAAAAAGGCTGTGGTCGAAATGCCATACTATCATACTACTCTTACTATTTCTGCAGTATCCAGTATGTATGCTGTGCGTAGTATGCACATTTTCTGTATGCATGTAATACCCTGATGACCTACTATATTTGCCAGAATCTGCTAAATATAACTCAAGTACACTGAAATCAGTACAGAAGCTGTTCGGCTTAGTAATTTTAAATAATTGTCCTTGATTCAAGAAACATGTCCGTTCCTCTCAGTCTCAATTAAGCTGGCACCCTTACTTAACTGAAAACTCATCAGCCTAAAACTTATGAATAGATATGCGTTTTCTTTCTCTTCCATTACACAGCCCTTGGGGGACACACTAACCTCTGAATCACAGTATTAAAAATGCCAGGAGCAAGAAAAAACACGATTATCTTGGGCTTGGCAAAGTAATTACACTTTAAACGATTAACCCAGCACATGCTAATAACGTCCTGAGCTCTTTGATCTCCAGATCATGATACCAGCAGTGCATTATTTCAAACAAACATCCAAAAAGTAAATAAAGTCAATAATTACAAGCTAGCATGTATGTTATTAAGGGTACCTGCCCACGCGTCACAGATATTTAAAATTCTATAATTAACCGTCAGATCGGAGACAGAGAGAGCGTTTCAACGTATTAAACTGCACATCCTGGAGCCAATGTAAAGTGTCAGGGTGTGTGAGCATGCCTTTAAAAAGGACTAAATACATAAACACGCACACTTTTTTACCTTCACTCCACTTGCCGCCATCCAAGAGCTCCCAGCCAGCCAGTTTGGCCTCAGTCAGTGGTTGATGGGTTTGTGGCCATGTTTTAAATGCACTGAATATGGAGAATACATCTGATGTGCTCAGTGTCAAGCTGAAGATCGTGTTGATTGCGCTAATTAAGTCTTGATGCCTTTGTTGTCTGAAAGACCGTGCTTTTGTTTTCGTTGGACATGAGCGACAGGCGTATATTGTGGCCCGAAGGCCTAGCGTAGCGTAGCAGCCTACTTCATGAAACCTGCAATGTGAAACCAGACATAGCAACTATTTTTGTGAACTGTGTATATTTGGAGCCATTTTTTTTTGGCTAGTTTTTGGTTTCTTTAACTATATGCTAAGTGTTCCTCTTCCTGTGTAATTTCTATCCATACAGAGCAAGTTAGTATTTGAAAGATGTTTGTGATCATCCTGACAAAAAAAAAAAGAAAAGAATCACACACGCTGCTGCACTTGCGAACATGCCGCATACTCTCGGAGAGGAAAAAAATGGATGGCATCCCACCCAAGCATTTTATTATTTCTGAAAGGCAGGGCATATAGAAAAATATAAGTTTGGCAGTCTGACTCTCGTAATGAAGGGGTTGATCAGGCACGTCTCCAGTGCAGACATTTGAAGATATGCCTTGGCCATCGTGCCACCGAAACCAGTAATATAGCATGTCACAGGAATATAGAAAAGAGTAGTATGGTCCTTCATTTGCCGTCATGCGTGCTGTTTGTACCTGCACGCTTGTCAGAACTCCCGCTGTGTGTCACATTTGTTGACATTCCATAAACAAACCCATACTTGCTGTCAACAGCCGAAACATTGTCCTCAGTTGTTTTTATTTTTATTATTATTTGTTTAATCCACCTTATTTTTCCCATAAGTGTATCTGGTTTCAAATGCCATTCGCTTCCAGCTATTTTTAGCTGTGCAAAACAGCTCGTTTTGCTGCTGGATATTGCAAACTGGTGTGTCTTACCATATTATGTTAATGTATTATCTTAATTATGAACACATTGGTTTGTAGTGCAGTAACAGTTTTACCGTTTACTGTACATTGCTATTCTTCTCGTTATTTTCCTACAGCAGCTAATGAACCGGAAATCTCGCACATTCACAGAAAACAGTTAAGGCTAGATGGTGTACAGATTTGTCTACTGGACATGCGAACATTAATAATAATCATCAGCGTAATTTTTGTCACAACAATAATTACTATTTTTGCATTATTGTAAGGGGTAGGTTTAGGGTTGGGGTAGGTGTAGACGTTAATAAAACACTATTTAATAAGTAGAACACTTAATTTATTGTTAGCTTCCTGTTTTATCCCCTCTAGCCACAACAAAAGAAAACGGCTTACTTCCGCATTGAAAAATAAGGTGTATAGGTGTACTTTTTACGTAACATTTCATTTTGTTTGTACTTTTAAAATGGTACAAATGTAAAAAAATTTTTGTCTTCTTTTTTTTGTTTTATTTTTCATCAAGTTTACTCACATTTTGAAAAACTGATTAAAAGTTTTTTAAATTGTAACTGGGGGGGGGGGGCTTATAAGTATCTGCATAGCCAACAACTTTTTTTAATATATATACTGCTTTAAAAATAGTTTATAATATAATATAAGCCAAACCTTGGGATCATATGATCAATTTATATGATCTAATCTTTAACTAATATTTATATTAGAAATGGTGTTGCATTTATATTAGTTATGGGTTCTTCTTAATGAACAATGGACTTAGGATGAACTGGATGTTGTATTTTGTTGCAGGAGGCCACGTTTGTAGGTTTAAGTTTGTTTGACATAAAAAAACTGTTATTTATTTCAGTCTCTGAAATAAAAACCTGGGACTCATAGATTAAACATGCTTATTACACAGTGCATACAATTTTGTAGATGCACTTTAAATGCACCAATTCATCATGCAGCCTGTTTGTGTTTTATTATGATTCATTTTGGCTGAGTAGAGCTGACGGGGCCAAATTTCACAGAAATGACATGAGTGTGTGTTTATGCCTGTTTTCTGTTACTTATGGTTTTATCGTAGTACAAAAGCTGCAAATCTAATTCCTGGAGTGACGCCCCATCCCTCTAGTGTGCTTTAAATGTGCTTTAGCTACTGGGTGTTCTCTGCAATGAATCAGCCATGGAGCTCGACCCAGCGGTGCTTGGCCAGCGGCCTGCGGGTATTAATGTGCGCTGCGGCATCAGCGGGGCCTCTAGTTAAAGAGAAATGAGATGAGAGGAGTTAGGAGCTCTGGACAAGCGCCTGCTGGACTGAGGTTAAACGCAGATCTTGAAATGAGAATTTGACTATCTGCTCTCATAAAAG